ATATTGATATATATTATATATCCCTTCTGTTTATCACAAATTTTTCCTTAATAAATCGACAGAAATGTTCATTCTCTCGCTTTCTGTGCGTCTCAGAAGACAACATTCACGAAAATGAAAAAAACAAAATGATGTATCGAAGAATTAACGAGTAATTAATTAACGTTGATAGCAAACGACCGAGTCGTAATCTAAAGCAACAAAAATATTAATTAAAATGTATATTTAATGAGAAATTGACGAAGAATGATAGCGTGTGAGAAAATGAAAATGCGTCGAGCGCAGCACCTTTCACATGAGTATGATGTTCAATGTTTCTCAACCACAAGTCCCTCGAAACAGTCAAAGAAATGCAACTGCAGTTGATTAATCTAATTCGTGTAAAGGCCGAATCATAAAGAGAAAGATAATCTTTCTCGATGAAAACAGAATTTCATCAAGAACTCATGACAAACTGAAATGAACTCAGCCTCCTCTCTGAAAAGACCCCCAAACCTTCGAATCTAACCGACAAACTCATGAATCCCCGCTGTTTTTTTCTGCTTTCAGAACACTGGACAATCGAAACCAAAGGAGTCCAACCATGCTGGTCACACTCCCCTCCGTCGTAGCTACACCTCCCTGGTGACCCTCATCGAGCAACATCGTAAACTCGATCGCAGCGTTAGTGAGCCAACATCTCGCTACAAGACAGAGCTCTGTCGTCCATTCGAGGAGTCCGGTGCCTGTAAATACGGTGACAAGTGTCAATTTGCTCATGGTTACAGTGAACTGCGTAATTTGGCACGTCATCCAAAGTACAAGACCGAATTGTGTCGCACATTTCACACAATAGGCTTCTGCCCATACGGTCCACGCTGTCACTTTATCCACAACTTTGAGGAAGCGAGGATGCACAATCAGAAGGTGAGCGCACAGTTGGGCAGTACACAGCCAAATATAATGGGTCTGAGTCCACTTCTGAGTGCAAGTGCAGCAGCAGCAAGCATCAATATGAATATATCCCTGCTGGAGCAGATCACAGCTCCGCAGGTGATGAGCAATCCTCCACCCCTGATAAGGGCAAACTCTCTGAGCATAGGCACACACCAGACATTTACAAATCCACCGCTACTCAGAACAACATCGTTGAGCCTGACAACACCACAGTCTCACAATCTCCACAATGTTCATCACAATTCGGTTATCGGCGCAGCAAGACCCAAACCATTGAATCTGAGCCCAACATTCTCACTTGGCAGTACAGCTGACTCAGTGTCGCCATCCTCAAGTCTCAGTCAATCGCCGACAAATTCAATGGCTAGTTTCTTCAGCGATGATTGCTCATCAGCACCAACTACAGCCTTCAGCTTTGGCCAGGACTTTGGATTACTCCAGACGAGGCACACACCGAGCCCACCGAGTGGCAACAGCCCAATATCTGATGATCTTGCACCGAGAACACCGTCTCCATTGTCACCCAATGCTGAGTCTAGGCTTCCTGTCTTCAACAGGATCAGCAGTGTCATCGGGGACTTCGAGGGTCTCAAGATCTAGAGGTCTGTTTGACGGAGAATTTCAAGGTTGACACCCTTTCTTCATTGCTCTTGATTCTTGAAGGATTCAACAGCGAAGCTGCACAACACCGGAGATTATTGTGCTTTTATCTCGAGAACGAGTGGTCGCAGCGAAAAATCTGTTAAGAACTTTTTTGTAGATCAGGAAATTTCCGGTGAAAAAGGTCCTGACACTTTTTTACGTACGGCGACTCGTTCCGGAGATAATTTGAGATTTACGAGTTTGGCTTTTGCAATTTCGCTGGTGAATGCATTCGTCAACGATTTATCATCGTTCATCGTTTGATTTTTTGTAAAGACAGTGTGACCCGGTAGTTTTAGAATTATTATTTACATTATTTTTTTTTTCGTGATTCAGCGACAATCACGAGCAGGTGAGACGTTGCAATATTCCAAAATAAATTGGGAAGACGATTACCGGATTTACTCGTCTTCCCACGAGCTATTTGAAAATATCTCAGTTTTTCTTTCCTTCATTTCTTTAATATTTCAAAGTGATAATGATGGAGTTGTCGAGCTGTCGATGATTTATTATCAAAGATTGGGTGATGACGTGTGCGATAATTGTGAGCGAGAGTAATCATTACTGAGGTTTAGAGTCTAGGGTAGATTTTACCGGCTAATTTAGTAACTTTAACTGTCTTCCAATGGTTTATTAATATTTTTTTTTTGCTTAGTGAGAATGAATGTGATTAAAATTATGAGAACGAGGCAGAATGGACGCGATGGATTTTTAAAAAGACGAGAATTAACTCGGAAGTTACTTCATTTGATGATTTTTTTCTCGGCTCTTTTAAGGCTTCACTTTTCCATTTGTTGACAAATTGAGCTTTTTAAAAATCAGTAACGCACATTCGAGGGAACGTTTGGGTTTCAAGTGAAAAAACGAAGAGCAAAGGAAATTTCAAAACTCATTGAAATATCACTTTTTCTCGTTGTTCTTTCCCTTTAGTTTAACAATGATGAATTTAATGGAAAATGGGGGAAAAAAAAACAAAAATGTGATATGTAACTATTTGCAATAGAAATATTTACGATTAACAGACATTCTATTATTAATAATTCACTTAAGAGCAGAATTGAAAAATTTATTTGTTGAAAATTCACGAGCAGTTTGTTTTTTTTTTAAAGAAAAATTTTCAAGCATTTTCTTTTTTTTGGAGATTGAGAGGAAGAGAACGGCGGAGGTGATAGGGCTCGGCCCGCTGCTCATATTTCTCTTGATTCTCATTAATCACGTCATCTTTGATTTCAATAATTATTCTCCGTAATAAATGCACGACGTGGTACATGAGACATTGAGAAAAAAAAACACAAAAATAATAATTGAAACATACTATGAAAATACATTTTGTAAATATATTTCCTACGATTTGAGGAGAAACAATGAAAGTTTTTTTCGTTTAATTTATAATTTGAGAAATGTTATTATAGATTTAGTTTATTTTTTATTATTAATTAACTAATACTGTGTACTATCCTGCGATAGATGAATTAAGGGAGAATTATTTCAGATAAAAATGGGGGAATATATATATTTATCGAGACTCCTGCGTTGCAATTAACTATAATTTCTTATTTTGTTTTCTTAGATTTTTTTTTCTCCATTACTTCTCAGTAGTGAATCATCTCGTTTTTTTTTCCATAATTATTATTCAAGGGAAAGTATAAGCCATGTGATGTGATTTATTTGTGATTCAGTTGTCTCGATTTCTTCCAATTATTTTCAATTTTCAATAACGAAAGGAGTAAACCACCGCCAATTAGCGATTTCATCTCTCATTATTATTATTATAATTTTTTTTGAATAGTGAAGAGCAAAATGGCAAAGTCAATTTAATCGCCGTCTATTAACACCACTAATTATCAATTAACAATTACGATTAATTAATTGTAACAATTTTTTTTTCCTATTATCTAACGTCTAATTGTATCCCACTTGTTTTCTACTCCGCACGTCATGTCTTTGGATGATTTTTCACATGAGAAAATAAATCCATCGATAATTGATTGAAAAGGCTCCATCTCCCGTCAATTTTTTGTTCATGAAAATACATAAATATGAATGATTTCAATTTAGGGCTGTCACCAGCCACAATTT